GCTCGCGGCCCACGCGCTGCTCCGGGACCCGCGGCCCACGCGCTGCTGCTGGCTTGCTGCTCGCCATGTTTGGGCACACGCTGTGTTCCAGGGCTCTTATGGGGACTTGCTGCAGTGTCCGCCTCCAGTGCTGAGGGGAGAGAAGAAGAGAAAAAGTAAGAAGAAAGGAAAAAGGAGGAAAAGCACAGGTGGAGCAGTGGAGCTCCGACTGGAGCATCCAACTTCGCCACCATCTTGCGGAATTCTAGGGAACATTTCTTCGCTGAGGATATAGTCAACCTGCAGAATTCTTTCCCACACAAGGCTATGGAGGCCAAGCCGCTGAAAGACACAGATAAAATGTTTAGATCTTGGAAGCATCAATGGGTATTTGGCAGGAATTTGGAACAGAGGATCAACCCTGATCAGATTGAACAGGCTCGAAGTCCCGGCTCCCGCACCCTGTTTGTCTGTTAAACCCCGTTATCCTGTCCCAGACTGTGAAAGGTTTGGAAAATAAAGTCGAGGACGGGTTGTAGATCATTCAAAGCTGATCCAACGCCCAAACCGCCTGCTCACGGCGGTTTGAGGTTGGGCGGAGGCATGTCATTTGAGCCTTCACCTTAGAAGTCAGTGAGAGAAATCTTTCGTTCACGTCGGATCCCATCAACATTAATCTGCTCGACGGCTCTGCAAAACCACCGAAGGGACCATCGTTCAATTGTACTGCACGGTGTGGAACGCGTTAAAACCATCTCTGGAAGCGGGGTCACTTCGGGAAAAGCCGAGAGCATTCAAGTGAGTTTGACCGAACCCGGGAGGAGGAAGTGGTGGTGGGGGGGTTCGGAGAACGGCAGGTGGAAGACAAAAAGCTGGTAGATTTTTGGCACGGTGCCTCAGGGGAAGCTCTACTTCTCAGACGCTCTCGATGTCAAAAATGAGTTGAATTCTTCCGGCCACAGGCAACGCTCACACAGCACTGCAGTTGCACTGAGCTGGAAACATGCAACCTCCTGTAGTGACTTGTGGCAGCAAGACACAAAAGGCCTTCCATCACGCTCAGCAAGTGACAATCTGCTAAGATGTGTCTCTGCGCTTTCCGGAGGCTTTTAAAGCGCGTTTTTCTCCAACCAGGGGCGGCCAGTGTCGAAGGGAGGTGAGACCACCCCGATCATGGTTTAACTGCGACGGCCGTTTCTGCTCGGTTTGTCCTGAGAGCTCTCTCCCTCACGGTTTCTCGTTCCCCTCATTGAGGGGCGGGACGGACAGAGACGGGAGAGATGTCCTTCTTGAGTTTCATGAAACTTTTTAAACTGGGTCCGGACAAGAAGAAGGTGAAACAATACCAACGCGTCAGGAGAGATGTGGATCCTGAAAGTGTCTGGAGAGTGATCGGAGAGCTGGGAGATGGGGCCTTTGGCAAGGTCCTCAAGGTAAGACCGTGTGATAATGCTACTCCTTATTTATCGGGATATTGCTCCCAGGGATTGGGTTCAAGTCCCTTCGTAGAGCCATGGAGTCATCCAGCATGGGAACATACCCTTCGATCCAACCAGTCCATAATCCCAAAGTAAACTAGTCCCACCTACCTGCGCTTGGCCCAAATCCCTCCAAATAACGGGAGGTGGAGAATTTAAATTCGACTAATGTGTTTTTCTTGAACCATCTAACAACAAGGGTGATCATTAGTGCAGGATTGTCATTTCTTTTTTAAAACACCCATCTTGTTCACATAGCAGCATGGAAACAGAGCCTTTAGTCCAACTCGTCCACGTCCCAGTCTGACCTAGTCCCCATCTGCCAGCATTTGGACCCTATCCCTCTAAACCCCTTATTAATCATATATGCATCCAGACGCCTTTTAAATGTTGTAACTGTACCAGCCTCCACCACCTCCTCTGGCAGCTCATTCCACACACGCAACACCCTCTTGCATGAAAAAGTTACCCCTCAGCTCCCTTTTTAAATCTTTCCCCCCCACGTCACCTTAAACCTAGAACCATCTTCTGTCCTTTCTTGGTCTGGCCTACATGTGACTCCAAACCCGCAGTGATTTGGTTAACTCTGAACCCCACCCCCACCTCAAAGGACCGTTGGGAGTCACTCTGTTGTCTAGGAATGGATAGAATCTAAATGAATTTTTCAAATAGTACTTTACTCGTGAATAGATAATTAACTTCTATCCTCTGAATCAAGAGAGAGAGTCCTAATAAGTTATAAACTGACTCGCCAAACAGGAAGACGTGAACATTTCGAGGACACACTGACAAAGATTTGTGCTGAGGCAGTGGTCTGTTGTTGCATATTTTTGTATTTTTTTTTGCCTCTTGCGTGCTGAAGTTCAGACCATCAAACTGATGTGGCAATTAACTATGGGAGCGATGTGATATTTTCCCATATTAAGAAGTTAGAACCCCACTCGGAAGAAATGGCAGTTTTGTTTGTTGAAATAGCAGAGGGAGCATCAAACGTCTATAGCGTTATGAAGTGTTTTCATTATTTTGCTTAAGTGAGTAGGTTAATTGTTGTGTTAACACTTCTGAGTCTTCAAAAGGAGTTGATCTTTTTCGCTGCTTTGGCATTGCCGTACTGTCTATGTGTTTCATTGTTATGTGGGGACTCTTAAATATGTTGACTGTTGGGATAAAAGGGGCAAGTTTCTGGGAGTGGGTCTCTGAAGCACCATCGAGACATACAGTCATACAGCACAGAGACAGCGTCATCAGTGTAACCAGTCCATGCCAACCATAATCCCAAACTAAACTAGTCCCCACCTGCCTGCGCCTGGCCCATATCCCTCCAACCATTTCCTATTCATGTACTTATCCAAATGTCTTTCAAACGTTGTAACTGTCCCCACATCCACCACTTCCTCTGGAAGTTCATTCCACACACGAACCACTGTCTGTGTAAAGAAGTTACCACTCGTGTCTTTTATAAATCTTTCTCCTCTCACTATAAAAATATGCTCTCTGGTCTTGAAATTCCCCACTCTAGGGAAAGGACACCTGCCATTCACCTTATTGAGATTCCGCATGATTTTATAAACCTCTATAAGGTCACCCTTCAACCTCCTATGCTCCAGTGAAAAAAAGTCCCAGCCTCTCCTTATAACTCAAACCCTCCATTCCTGGCATCATCCTGGTAAATTTTTCTGAATTCTGTCCAGTTTAATAATATCCTTCCTGTAGCAGAGAGACCAGAACCAGACACAGTTCTCCAGAAGAGGTCTCACCAACTTCCTGTACAACCTCAACATGACGTCCCAACTCCTATACTCAAAGGCCTGAGCAATGAAGGCAAGCGTGCTAAACACCTTCTTAACCACCCTGTCTACAAGTAATGCAAACTTCAAAGAACTATGTACCTAAACTCCTAGGTCACACTGAACTACCCAAGGCCCTACACTTAATTGTACATGTCTTGTCTTTGTTTTACTAAAATGTCATAGTGGAAATGACAAGTGGGCTGTGCTTAGCCCACATCATCTTCCATTCAAAGTTTCTGAACCCGATGGCTCATGTAATGTCAATCCCCGCACACCACCCCCCACCACCCCCCCACCCCGACCCCACCACATTCTGCCGACAGGGAGTGGTGGGAGATTCAACCAGAGAAGTACTGCCAGAAATCCTTGGGCAAGATTCTCCAAATCCATTGGCAAGAAAGACAATCCAATGGCCTTGTCCTCTCCCAAGACAACTCATCCAGTAGCGGGGTGTTTATCATTGGAAATCCACCCTGCTGAGTGCGACATGTATTTCCCGTGTCCAACATCAGACTCCGCAGACAATTGTTTTCCCCGGAACTCAGAAGAACGCTGGCAAGCTTTTCGTTTTGTTGTCCTGGTTTGAATTTACACAACGGTGTATCTGTCCATTGCCCTGGCAAAGCCTCCACCAATTAAACTCCACTTGGCAACTATCCAGCACCCTTTTCTCCTGCTGTGTAAATTGCTGTTCCCCCTTGGTATTCTTGCCATTGTGTCCTGATGACTTTGAGAGGAAAATTTGCCATCATGCCTTCTTCTCGAACAATACCGACTCCCTTTAGCAGTCTCGCGAGTCTGTCTGATCCACACTGCCTTGAAAGGCTTTGAAAGGTCCACAGACAGATCTCCCAAATGATAGCAGCACCTGCGAAAATTTGGGGCAACTGCGCTCGACCCCATCCTGAACCCTAGCCCTGAGTGCGCACGACAGGCGTACATTCGTACAACCTTTTGAGATATTTCTCGACCATGCCAACCCAGATGCTGAAGACTCCAGGTGAGTGGGTGACAGTGGCATGCCACTGATGCCATTTGGCTAGAAACCGGGATGACCGGGCTAATTGCCAGGAAAAACGGGTTCAAACCCCACAACAGCTTGTGAAGATTCAAGTTCAATTAATTCATGAATCTGGAATTGAAAGGTAGCCTCAGTAATGGTGACTGGAGTCATCATCCGTGCTCAGGGAAGTCCCAAATTGGTTCGCAAATGTCCTGGAGGGAAGGAAATCTGCCGTTCTTCACCTGGTTTGGGTCTACACGTGACTTCAGACACGAGACGTAATCGACTCTTAAATGCCTTCTGAAATGGCCGAGCAAGCCAAGGGGTGGTTGGGTTCTGAAGAAGAGTCATAATCAGAGTCGAAATGTCAAATGTATTTCTCTCTGCACAGACCTACTGAGTTTCTCCAGCATTCTCTGGGTCTTTTTCAGCTTTTCAGCATGTACCGTGTTTTTGCCTTTATTTAAGAGCATTCAGGGGTGGGCAAGAAAGGGAAAAAAAGTGACATTCGGAAATGAGAGTGTCAATATTTTGTCCATTTGACAGGAGCTGGAGAGTGACAAGGATAAGCAGAGAGGAGGAGAAAGAGGGGTCAACTGAGGTGTAGTTGGATAATGGCTGTCACAGATGAGAGCTACATAGAAACATAGAAAATCAGAGCAGGTGTTGGCCATTCGGCCCTTCGAGCCTGCTTTCCCATTCAATGTGATCATGAGCCACCCATCCAAAGTCCCCTGTTCCCTGCTTCCTCCCTTACATCCCTTTAGCCCTAAGGACTGGCTCCTTCTTGAAAACATTCAAGACAGACCACTGTGTCGGAGCCCCGTGAGAGCAGGAGGAGCTACAAGCTGCAGCAATGGGTGGAGGGATCTCCACAACTTGCTGATCTTTCCGTCTGGTCTGATACTGTGCACTCTTTGCCTCACTACATGATCTGATTAAGTTCTTTTCCAGTCAAATTAAAAGGGGCTGCACTGCCCGCACCGCCACCTCTGCTATTCCACTGCACTGGACAGAAATCCAAGGCAATCTGGTTGATCTAAATCGAACCTGAGGCATCTCCTTCGGCCTACCACCAGCCAAGCGGGGCAACCAGAAAGCCACGTCATTGTTGCAGTACAGGAGGAGGAGATTTGGCCCTTCATTGTCGGTGCCATCTCTCCAAAGGAGCAACTCAACTCCCGCCCCACCCTTCCACCCACCTTCCCCTCATACCTCTTTCCGAGAAAGATCCAGCTCTCTCCTGGGCATCCCGATTAGATATGCCTCCACCACACGCTCAGGCATTGCACTCCGCTGCCCATAGGAAGCAGACAGAGCCCAGGCGTGTATGTTTCCATGTCACAAAGCACACCAATGGCTTGTTCCACATGTCAGTCAAGAGCTCACCCAATATCCCTTAATCTAACACAGAGCCATCCGTGCCTAACACACCTATTCCCCAATTTCATTTGGGTGTTGGGCACCCCTGACAGACCCTACGAGATGATTGCACCCCAAGAGATCCTAATCATTCGCTGCATTAAAATGTTTCACTTCTTGCATTTCCCAAACTTTTGGAAAACATCAGCAAATGGATCAGTAGATCTCCCCACCATAAACACACAGCAATGGCCGGGAATGTTGGGCAATTAATGAGAGCTTTAAAGGCCAACTCATCCTGAATTATAACGAAAGGCTGGGACTTTTATCCCTTGGAGTGTCGGAGGTTGATAGGTGACCTTAGAGAAGTTTATAAAATAATGAGGGGCATAGATAGGGTAAATGGTATTTGTCTTTTTTCTAGGATGTTGGATTTCATGAGTAGGGGGCACATTTTTAAGCTGAGAGGAGAGAGATTTAAAAAAGACATGGGCGGGCAATTATTTTGCTTAGAGGGTGGTTTGCGTGCAGACTGAACTTCCTGAGGAAGTGGGCACAGTTACAACATTTAAAAGACATTTGGATAAGTACATGAATAGGAAAGGTTTGGAGGGATATGGGCAGGAGCAGGCAGGTGGGACTAGTTTAGCTTGGGATTATGGACTGGTTGGACCAAAGGGCCTGTTTCCGAGCTGTATGACTCTATGACTATGACTCTATAGTGTATTTCCACACTTCAGACACCCACTGACCAAAAACTGTAGGGAAACCATCCCTGTCCTTTTCATTATTCTTTCCTG